GTGAATCTACTTATCTTGAAGAAATCACTATTTCTCTTGATGGGGATGTGGTAAGTTTAAAAGTTCAGTATGAATGGCGACCAATACCTTGCTTGCACTGTAAGTCTTTAGTTCATTACTCTGCTTCATGTCCGACTAAGCAATAATCTTCTAATAAAGAAAATGAGAATCCTTCAGCTTCTGTCTCCAATGATTTAAACAAGAGAGGTAAAAGTCATAGTAGAAATCCAAAAAATCGTAAACTTCCTGCTGAAATTCTGGAAAAGCCACCTCCTCAAAATATTTCTGTACAGGTGCGGGATTTTTCTACCTCCCTTTCGGAACCTTTACATCCAATTTCTCGTCCCAACAGCTTGGGTATGCAGCTTCTTTACCAACAGCACTACCATCCGCCTACGAAAAATAGACATGCTATAGATCCTATTCAGTATGAATCTGTTTTGAGTGCTGATCTCCCTAATTCTACAAACATACCAAATCTAAATTCTCCTAGCATGGATGGTAATGATATTACTCAAATCCAAATTCAGGCCCCTATGCCGCCTTGTGGGGTTATCTCTCCGAATAGATTTGAAATTTTATAATAGCAGGACTCTCATTCCTCGTCTGATAATTTGATCGTTGATAATAAGTCTGATGCTAGTAAGAACTCTAAAGGGAAGTCTAGTCAGGATTCTAGCTCCATCTTATCCAAAAAATCGACTAGGGTGAAGCAGGGTAAAAAGCCTCCTCCTCATCTCGGTCCATGATGATATTGCCTAATATAGCTTTTTGGAATATCAGGGGATTTAATCGCCCTGATAAAGTTCTTTGTTGTAAAAGTTTAGTTGCATCCTTTAATCTGGATATGCTCTGTATTTTGGAGAATATGATTCATCATTCCTCTCTTCAAGATCCCTTCTTTGAATCAACTCATACTATTTTCAACTTTGAAAGTAGTTGCAATAACTTTGCTCTTTCCTCTTCTGGACATATTTGGGTGAAATGGAACTCTAACAAGCTTCACTTTCAGCCTACTATCATCACTCCTCAACTTATTTCGGGTATGATCTCTATTGGTGGCTTGGTTAAGTTTCATTTGTCCATCATCTATGTCTCTAATAACAGTGCTGACCGTCTTGCACTTTGAGAGCTTATTATGCAATCTGCTACTCATAAAGATGTCCCCTGGATTCTGATGGGTGACTACAACTGTTGCCGATTCACTTATGAAAAGTTAGGTGGTTCTCCTCTGACTTCTAGGAACCTTTCTGATCTAAATACTATGATTTTTGCTAATGGGTTAAACGATCTCCCTTCTATTGGTTGTAAATTTACCTGGTACAATCAACATTCGGAATCTCCCATTCATATTAAGCTTGATAGGGTTTTGGTTAATGAAGCTTGGTGCTCTGCTTTTCCTAACTCTTATTGCTCTTTTTATATTCCTTCTTACTCTGATCATAGTCCAATTATTTTGCATTCTGGTTTGTTAAAGCATGCTAATCATAGATTACTTTTTAAGAATTTTTGGACCAAATTGGATTGCTACTGGGCTCTGCTTCTTGAGGTTTTTTCTAAACCTCATTATGGTAATCCTATTATCTATTTTTTGTGATAATCTCAAGATGTTAAAAGGCAGCATTAGAAAGAATTCCTGGGCAAATTCTACCTATATTACCTCTCATTTGGAGGAGCTTCACAAGTCTCAAATGTATTGGATGAACAAACTTCATGAGGATCCTTATAATCCATCTCTTAATGCTTCCCTCAAAGATATTAATTCTATAATCTTTGATTATTTTAGCTTGATGGCTGACTGGACTATTCAAAGGGCTAAAGTGAATTGGCTAAAGCAAGGTGAAGATGATTTAAAGTTCCTTTATGCTAAAATCAAGAGTAGAAAATGCAAGAATCAAGTGGTGGGGTATCTTTCCCATTCCACTTCCATTGATCCTACTTCTGCTAGGGTTCAAAGTGTCATCCAATACTTTCAAGATCTTTTCAATCTGGTTCCACCTCTCTTGATGGATATGTCAATTTTTCCTTTAGGAGCATATATTCCTGATCACCTCATTTATTCTCTTTCTGCATCGGTTACCACTGATGAGATTAAGAAAGATGTGTTCTATGGTTCTCCTACTTCCTCCCTTGGTCCGGATGGATTCAATTTTCACTTTTATAGATCTGGATTGTATATCATTGGACCTTTGCTCATTAAAGCTGTTAGCTCTTTCTTTACCAAAGGTTACATGCCGAGAGGGGTAAAATCCATTGCACTTGCTCTTATTCCTAAACATAAGCATGCTTCTAGTATTTCTGACTTTAGACTCATTGCTCTGTGTAATGTTCTTTATAAATGTATAGCTAAGATTTTAGCTAATAGACTTGCTCCTATCATGCCTATTATTATGAAAGCCAATCAATCGGGATTTATTAAATCCAGAATCTCTACTGATAATATCCTGTTGGCAAAAGAAATCCTCACCTACAGTAATAGAAATGGCACTAATATCTTTTGTGCTAAACTTGATATTCAAAAAACTTTTGATATGGTTTATAGAGAATTTTTAATTGCAAGGCTTATGCAAAAAGGCTTGTCTCAATGATTTGTAAGTTGGATTAAATCTTGCATTTATGATGTTAACTTCTCTATTATTCTTAATGGGGCTTTGGAGGGATTTTTTCCCTCTACGACGGGCTTGAGGCAAGGTTGCCCTCTCAGCCCTCCTCTCTTATGTCTGGTTATGGATGCATTTTCCACTTTGTTGGATGAAAGTGGTTTTAAAGGCTTCTTTATGGATGGTTTTAGCATCTCTCATCTACTCTATGCTGATGATGTTTTGGTTTTTGATAAAGAAGTATTAATAATTGTCACATTTTGTCTAAAGTTCTCAATAACTTTGCTAATGCCTCAGGTTTGCATATCAATTTGGATAAGAGTTCTATTGTGTTTCCCAAGTGCTTGAAAAACAAGAATACTATTTGTGATGCTTTAGGTATCCATAATATCAGTGACAAAATTATCTACTTAGGTATCCCTCTATCTTTTGATGTTCTAAAGATTGTTGATTTCAAGCCTTTGATGGATTCTATTACAAAAAAAATGTCTGGTTGGAGGGCAAATCTTCTTTCTTTTGTTGGCAGGTTATAATTTTTAAAATTCATCATGATTAACTCTATTGCCTATTGGATTAGGGGATCCATTATACCCAAAATGGTTTTGAAATTCTTTAAGAAGATATCATCTAAGTTTCTTCTTACTGGTGAGTTGGATGACAGAAAAAAGATCCATATGATTTCTTGGGACAGAATCTGTAAACCCAAGGCATGCGGTGGTTTAGGTATTCCTTCTCTGAACTCTTTGCAGTTTGCTTTTAATTGCTCTATTATTGAGAGAATGTATAACTGCTCTAGTTTTTTATCTACTTGGCTTATTTATACATATAAGTCTCCTTGGCGTCCCCCTTTCTATAGGGACTCTAAATTTTGGAAGGCAGTATGTGTTACTGCCCAGGCTTCTAAATCCTACTTTAAATTTATAATTTCTGCTTCTACCCCCATTTCGCTGCAATGGGATCATTGGTGTAATCATGCCTTACTCTCTGATATTCCTGAAGGTTTTTGTTTTTAAACATTACTTGTGCGTGTACTCCTCTCAAAGACTTTATATCTGGTAATGACTGGACTCTCCCTGAATCCCTCCCTCCTACTTTAAAGAATTACATTTCTAATATCAGTATCCACGATATTTCTGTCCCTTGCTTAGTATGGGACAATAAGGCGGCTGGCCTGTTTAGAGAGTATATTGCTGGTTTCTACTCTCTGGAAGCTACTTTTTCTTGAGCAAAATTGATATGACATAAAAAATCTGTATTAAGATTTTCGGTTTATACATGGATGGCTGTGGTGGGTGATTTGAAAACTGCTGATGAGCTTCTAAAAAGAAACATCTCTGTCCCTTCTACTTGTGGTTTATGTCACTCGGCTCCAGAATCAACCTCTCACTTGTTTTTTGAGTGTCCCTATTATTTTTTCTGTTGCCTTCGTGGATGACGCTATATTTCGATTGGCTTTGCCTGTGGGTATTGCCTTAGACTATGATGTACCCAAATGCAGGCTCCCCGTGGACAGCCTTTGGGGCAACCAGGGGCTCTCAACACTCAAGCTACTTTTCTGAGTCCAGGCATTGTGGGATCCGATCTTTTTGTACTCTCACCTCTTATTGTTGTTTTGTCTTTTTGCTGTACATATGTCAAATTCAAAGAATGCAATTTTTGTTTTTTTGGGCTTCTCCAAGCCAGTCTCTTTTTATTTGAGGCTTTAGACCTTTATTTTTACATGTAACCTCTGCTGATTAATATATGGGCTTTGCCCAAATTTTCCCAAAAAAAAAAAAAGAATACCCCATGTGAAAAGAAATATTTATTCTTGAAGGCCTTTTGTCAAACACCTTTGCACATACACATTATTTAATTCTAAAAAAAAGATTTCGTAAGACTCAAATGATAAGTTTTAATCTCATAATTTTAATAACAATTCTTTAATTAGTTAATTAATTAAAAAACCACCAAATTATAAATATTAAAAAGTTATTTACCAATAAAAACTGTAATTAAGCTGCTAAACAATATTAATTAAGCATAGATCAACCTAAATGACATCTTATATATCTGAACTTACGTACCGACCCATTCAGACTGTTCAGTCCTTGTCAACTAATTAATTATCTATTAGCTAATTAATTAATAGTTAATTACTTTTAGTCGCGGGAAAGCCAGGGATTAGCTCTAATGCCCTGCGCACGGGCAGGCGGAACAGACCTGTATTAGTTAGCAGAAGTGATAGAGATTAGATTAAGATTAAAACAGATAAGACATAATTAGTCTTAAAAGTCATAATTAGCCGTAACAAAAACTCTCCCTCCTCGCTTACGTCACCCATAAAGGCATTTAAGCTGCGGCGGACTGCTTCAGAGTTCAGAGCTTCTCTCTCTTTCTCTCTCTATCTCCAACTTGTTTTTTTTATATGTTCGGCTTTCTCCGAAATCCAGCAGAAAAACCCTCCTCACTCGTTAAGTGGCAGCTCTGTCTCTGTGTCTCTCTCTCGCGGTCGATCGAGCTGGGATTCTTCTCTGCTAGTGCTGAAACCCTAGCTCTCTTCTTCTTTCGTTTGGTGGAGGAGTCGGAAGAGAGGAGGGAGGTGCGTCATTTCCCGCTTTTGTTGAGAGGGGATCTGTGGTATCAGGTCGTGTAAGTGAATGCGCTGCTAAGAATGGCGACGCGCGACCGACCGCCAAGGCGGGCCAGGCCTGGGCCGTGGCCGCCGGCTGGGGGGGCCGCTGCAGGACCCACGGAGGGCGTGCCGCCTCCGCTGTCGTGGGCGAAGAGGACGGGATTTAAGGGTAGGGTGTCCGGGGAGTCCAATGCGAGTAGTTCTGGTCAGATTGCGCTCCCCAAACCGAAGGAGGCGGAATCTAACGTGGATCTCGAGTCTGGGAAAAGCCACGTGCTTCCTACTCCACCGGTGCTTCCGAGTCTGCCGGTCGGCGCTCCGGCTGTGACGAATGGGCAGCAAGTGCCGGTGCCGGTGGATCCGATGGCGAGGAAGAGGAGGGATTCCGATGGAGGTGGGGCTGGTCAGGGGCAGAAGGTCGTTGGCGCGGGGCAGAACGGACAGCATCGGTCGGAACCACCGGTTCTGCCGAAGCAAAGGAGGGAGGAAGAGGCGAATGCATTGCCTCCGGTTCGTGAGGATGACAATGGGGTTGCCTCGCGGCAGTCGCACATAAAGTATGAGCTGAGAGAGACACCTGGCCTTGGTGAGGACTGCTGTTGTTAAAAGATGGTAATGATTTATGTTTCTTTCTTTCATTGCTGATTTCTTTGCCTCTCCTTCGGATATTCAGTTCCGATCGTGCTTTATGGTATTCAGCACTACCTCTCTATTCTGGGTTCGTTGGTTTTGATACCTTTAGTTATTGTTCCAGCAATGGGTGGAACCTCTGTGAGTGCTCAACTCTTACCCCTTTTTCGGTAATGATAATGGTGATTATTTCGTTTGTTTAGAAAATGGTATTGTCACAGGAAGATACGGCAGCTGTAGTTTCCACTGTGCTATTCATTTCAGGAGTGACTACATTGCTTCACACATTCTTTGGTACGAGGTTGCCGCTTATACAAGGCCCGTCTTTCGTATATCTGGCTCCGGCACTGGCGATCATTAACTCTCCTGAGTTTCAGGGTTTGAATGGGAATGTAAGCCCTTCACATTTGTCCTCTTAATTGTGTTTTGTCTTTATGTGTTTAAATTGTAGAATTATCTTTTTCCAGTGGGAACATTAATCGGAGCAATTCAGATTCATCGAAGCTATGTTAATCTTTGTGGCATAATCATGTCCATGATATTTCCTTCTATGTTGAACGTCTTGCAATTTATAGTAGCTGCAGTGCGAATCGGCATATATAAAAGTATTATCTTTTCTGACGAGATGCTTGATGCGAATCTATTTTGTTTTACCTGCTACAGAACTTTAAGCACATAATGAAGGAGCTGCAGGGAGCTTTTATCATGTCCTCAGCTTTTCAAGCCATATTGGGATACAGCGGTTTGATGTCATTGTTTTTAAGGTGCGCTAATAATTGGCTGTGTTCTGCGATAATGTTTTTTTATTTTTCATGATTTTTTCTGCTTTCCATTTTCCAAGTTCATGCTCTCATTTGAATGAATTACAGTTTTTGCACTAAATATGCTGCCATACCAATTCTATTCTTAATTTTGGTGCTGATCAAAGGTGCATGTTTTATGTTTTCTTAATAGCTATCACGTATCAAAACATTTTTCATACTTCACGCTTCATTATATTAACAGGGTGATTAGTTTGTGATGACTTTTGATTTTATGCAATACTTTATTGATTCTTAGTTATTAATGATTCTATTTGTAGACAAATAGAGAGGGGGATGTGTAATGCCGACCCCATGTAGTTGGGATAAATCTAATGATGAAGATGGCTATGTGATTTCATTGATGCAATATTCTCCTATTTGTGCTAGTTGCATCTTTGACATTGTTAAGGTTGGACTGAGATAGTTTGCCGAAAGTTTATCTTTTTAATAAGTTTACTTAGTAAAAGATATCTCTCCATGGTAATCATTTTCAAGATAAGATGAAATAGAATCATTTTTTAGGTGGCAACCATGCAGTTTTTTTTTGGATTAGGAGATTCAGGAAGTTTGCAAGACGTTGTACCTTGGTGCATGCTTTTTGCCCTGCCTCCCCCGCGCCCAAGCTAGCCTGCCTCACCCGTGCTTGAGCTCGTCTGCCAAGCTCGCGCCTACGCTTGCCTGCCTGACTCCCTAGCCCTGCCCATGCTTGCCTGCCTCACCCTGGGTCCAAGCTCGTTTGCCTAGCCCGTGCCGTTGCTCGCCTGCCTAGCTGCCTCGCCCGCGGCCTGCCTGCCTTGTCCGCAGAGCTGCACTCGCACTCTGCCTGGGCTCGCTGGCACTCACGCTCGCACCCTACCCCGCTCGCACCCTACCTACACTTACGCTCACTTGCATCCGAGTCCGCCATTGGTCGGCTTGACCTAGGATTTTGGCGGGTCATGTCCGGGTTGAGATTTCTGACCAATTTGCAAAAACGGATCGGGTTTGTGTCGTGCCAAATAACCGCCGGTCAATATCAGGTTCGACCCGCACCTGACCCGCAACCCATTTTTGACACCCCTAATTATTAGTAGAATTCAAGTTGGATGGTTGAAGTGAAGGAATGCATCAGGTTTGTTGTGTGATATAAAAGTCCCTTTCAAACTTAGGGGAAAATTCTATAAGATGGTGGTGAGACCTGCAATGCTTTATCATGCAGAATGTTGACTATTAAAAGAGAAGCATAATATAAAGTTAAGTGTTACAGAGGATGCTTAGGTGGATGAGTGGCTTTACTCTTAGAGACGGGATACAAAATGAGCATATATGTGAAACAGTTGAGTAGCTCAATTGAAAGATAAGATTAGAGGGAGTTGCCTTAGATGGTTTGGTCACATAAAATGGCGGCTTTTTGATGACCTGGTTAGGAAAGTAGATGTATTAGATTTGACTTATGTTAAGAAAGGTAGAGGTGACCTAAAAAGTCTTTGTTAGAAAATATTAGAAATGCCCTTTTTTATTAGGTTTAAATGAGAATTTAACTCTTAACAGGACACAATGGAGAAAAAAAGATTCATGTAGCCGACCCCACATAGTTGGATAAAGGCTTGATGTTATTGCAGTTGTTGTTGAGATTCAGGAAGTTTAAACATATTTCATATGGTAATTCAGGCAATAAATGAACTATTTTTTATCTCTAATTCATAATTTTTAAGATGATACATAGGTACTAAGCTTGCATAATACAAATAAGGTGGCATTTCTAGGGTAATCCTGCCCTAATCTGATTAGAGATTTGGTTAGTTGCATATTTTAGCATATCACATTGTAAACCAGATGACTTCTAGTATATCAGGGTATACCTAGGGTGAAATGTTGTTATTTCTTCTCTTTTTTGTTCTAAGTTCTACTTCTCTACATGTTAATCACGAATCATATATGATATTATGTTTTGTATGCTATGTAGAATCTATAGTTTTGGTAGGAATGTTATTATATACTGACTTGGATGGTCAAATACCTAAGTATTGCTAATTTTTAAGTGCATATGTGTGCTTGCATGTTTGGGCATGCTCACATGAGTGCTTGTGGATTGATGCAGTCGAGCCCCTCGGTTTCCTGATGGCCCTTCAATTTTCCCTCCTAGCTCATTGTTTTCCCGCTGAATTTCGTGTTTCCCTGCTGTTGGCCCTTCGATTTCCCTACTGGTTCTCATATTCCCTATTGGCTCAGATTCCCTGCTGTCTCGGTTTCCTTGCTATTGACTTCTCGTCTTTTGCTCATTGCTAATTCCTATAAATGATGTTTTGATTTCCCTTCATGGTGGTTATTTTGGGTGTAATTTATTGGCTGGTTGGGTGACTCATTTAAGAGAGCATTTAATGTCTTTTCCCCCTTCCTCTCCCATATAAAGTGACTGATTTCCTTTGTGAAATAGAGAATTTTTTTTTGGAATTTGATCATTCAAAACCCATGGGTTTTTTCTAGATTGTAAGCTATCTTCTTTTCCCTATCCTTCTTATATTTCACCTCAGACCCTATCTATTTTTCTCTCCACGGTTCCCATTCTACCTTTATCTTTCTTCTCGAAACTTTGATTAGTCATAAGTTGTGCCGTGTCCAGGTTTTTATTATAAGTTGTAAGTATTGTTGTGTCTTGTTCTATTATAAGTTGTAAGTGGTGTTAGTACTGTTTTATTGTTGTGTTTGTTTATGTTATTTAAGGTTTATGTGAATGAGAAAGTAAGTGTGTTTTAATTTGCATTCCTAGAGCAAAGTTTATTTTTAGGTTGCATCAATTTGGTATCAGAGCAATAGATTGTCATGTGAGTATTCCTTTCACTTTAAAATTAAAAAAAAAATCAAAACAGTCAACAAACCAAAGTTCCAATTCAAGAAAAAGATCTATTATAAAAAAGAATGAATTCAAAACATCGGGAAAGCACATCCATTTAATCTGACAAACCAAACCAGTGTGTTACTGAGGCATTCTCATCAGGAGATGAGATTCTTCCACCCGGGGAGAATTGATGCATTCAAGCTTTTCGGTTTACTGATGGCCATTCAGTTTTCTCTCTTGCCTCACTATTTTCTTGCTGGATTTCAGGTTTCCCTGCTGCTGGCCCTTCGGTTTCCCTGTTGGTTTTCTAATTCCTTGTTGTCTCAGATTCCCTACTGTCTCGATTTCCTTGCTGCTCGTCTTTTGCTACTTTTTGATTCCTATAAATGATGTGTGACTTCCCTTCATGGTGGCTATTTTGGGTGTAATTTATTGGCCGGTTGGGTGTCTCATTGAAGAGAGCATTTAATGCTGTTTTTCCCTTCCTCTCTAATATAAAGTGGCTGATTTCTTTTGTGAAAAAGAGACTTTAAAGAATTTTTGGAATGTGATCATTCAAAACCCGCGGGTTTTTTCTAGCTTGCGAGCCATCTTCTTCTCCCTAGCCTTATATTTCGTCTCAGACTTCTATTTATTCTTCTCTCCACGGTTCTCATTCTACCTGTATCTTTCTTCTTTAAAACTATTGTATTTTTTTAAGTTGTGGCATGTCTTGTTCTATTATAAATTGTAAATAGTATGGTGTTGTGTTTTGTTCCTTGTTGTGTTTGTTTAAGCTATTGTGGGATGTAATAGTATTATTTGTTCTATCTATGTTTGTTTATTTTTATGGAAAGGAAGCCTTTTGTTTGCAATCTTAGTTATTTTTAGATTGCATCATGGATTCTAGCATAAATTGACTCATACATTGCTTATCATCCATGCAAACATATTCATTTATGCCATCATGACTGCTGCCTCATGCATGCATTGGTATAAATAAATACATTTGTATGTGTATGAAAATATATATGTATATACTACATATATTTTGGTTGTGTAGTTTAATTTGTTTCAAAAATGACCTTTTTTTTAACCGAACCAGAGTGAACCAAGCCACTAAACCGAAAAATTAAAGAAAATTTATCAGTGCAACCAAATAGATGTTTTGTTTAAGAGTTTGTTGGTTTGAGAACTTAAACATAGTTTGGGATGGTTCAGTTTCAATTTTTGATTATCAAATTTATATGATTTTTTTTAACTGTATTTTTTTTCTTTGGTTTGTTGATAGTGATTTCAAATAACTTCTCTTAATCAATTATACAATATAAAATACAGGGTTCATGTCACCTTGAAAAAATACTTGTGTATGATGCAATTTGGAGAAAAAAAGGATTAAAATGGTCCCTTGATTCTTTATGAAGGACCAATATAGTTCTCAACTATAACAAAGGACCATTTTGGTCCTTTAATATATAGTTGGGGGCTATTTTGATCTTTCATAATGAGTCAATGGATCATTTTGGTTCTTTTCTTTGCAAATTTGTGTGTAGGTGCCAACACAATTCAGCTTCATTCTATGTTGACCACTATTTGAAACCAAACCATAGTGAGCTAAACTATTTGATTGCAATTCAAATTTAAATTAGCTACAGATTAAGCCAAATTGATGGTTTGGTCTAATTTTATAGATTTCCATTCGATGGCATAACTTTTATTTATTATGCATTGGAGTTGTTTAGTTTTGCTTAATTTGATTTGCATGTTTTTGTTAAATTCCATTTCAACCATCCAATATAAATATTCTCATGAACTTGATAGGCCGGTTTAGTTTGAACCGGCCCAGCCGGCCCAAAGAGGGCCGGCTCTTGTATACAGGAGGGTGGTTTGTCCGCCCCCTTATTGCCGCAAATCCTAGTGGGGTCTACTAGGAAGCAAATTAAGGAAGAAGAGGGGGTGGCTAGAGTTGGATAGAATTTTTGAATGTTTTGAATTCATGTATTAAATAGGAAGAGATGTTTAGGGTTAGGGTTATGCTTAATTATTGTGTTCTCTTGGAGTTTCTTCTTGGTGTCTTGATCTCTAGGTTCATCTAGAGATTGGGAGAAAACGATCATCCTCTCAAATTAAGGATCATTTGTATCTTTGCTTTGTTTCCAACTATTGATTTGATTCCTACAATAAAATATATTGCTTTTTATTGTTTTCATTGGAATTGTTGAGTTTTTTTTTTCGTTGTTTTTATCGATCTTGTTAGGGTTTACTTGAAATATTCAAGTATTTCCTATCAGATTGGTATCAGAGCATATTTTGGGATCATCGTGGGCTACTTTTTTGAAAATTCAGTGGCGGTGTTTGTGATCGGATGACAGTTTCTTGTTGAATTTTGAATCAATATCCAGATTTTTTTATGGTGGCAAAAAAGGTAGATGCTTTGGAGGAATGCTTTGAAGGGGATATGAGTCAAATAAAAGCCACGATGGCATATTGAATCTCCTTCGTAGAAGACAAGGTTTTGTCCGTGGAAGACAAGGTTTTGTCCGTGGAAGACAAGGTTTTGTTCATGGAAGACAATTACCGATCTTCATGCGATGGTGAAGAAGTTATTAAAAAATCAAATTCAAATGGCGGCATCGAAGGAAAAAGGATCCATGGAAAGAACTACGAATTCTGATTTTCGTAGGAGGGATGATGATGTGGAAATCATGGAGGAAAGATGTGGAAATCATGGAGGAAAGAGGTGGAAGGTATGGAGGATGCATGGGTATGAGGGGCATGAATCATGGAGTGCTGGTTAGGAAAGAAAAGAAGGGGAAATATGGAAGAAAGGGTGTTGATTTTGAAGAAAAGTGATGTGAAATGTAATGCATGGAAACAAGAACTGCTTGGGGATTTTAATATAAGAATGTTAAAGCTTTGCTAGTTATAGAATTAATACTTACCCAAGTTAGGTTTTCGGAATTATCAAGTCGAAATTAAGTAAGGCATGTGGTTACAACTAGATTAACAGGACAATATCAAATTGACAACATAGAATTAGATAGTAATGTTATGGAGAGAAACAATAATCCACAATTAACAAATAGAACTTTTCACCTTGGGTCTCTCACTCACTCTCTTGTTGGTGGCACTTTTAATGGAGGAAGATTGAGAGCAACCAAGCGATACCACTAGGAGACAAATGGCGCACAAAGTGTAGTCTGTTGGAGTGGTAGCCGGTGGCGGGTAGTACATGGGATGACTCGTGAGCATCCAACGTCTTATCCTTTCTTCCTTGATCATCAAAGACGAAGCCGTGGTCGATGTTGGGATCGGCCGTCCATGGATGTGGAGAACTCTCTTCTTGAGCCCTTGAGCCGACCACTTGTCGAAGAAAAAGCGGAGAAGAGGGGGGGGGGGAGTCGGCTATGGTGGGGGCTAAGAGGCAAATGCAAGAAATCTGAAATAAAATTCAGATTTTAGTGGTTTAGGAGAGGGATTTAATTTGAATTTCAAATTAATTCAAGGAGGGGGAGAGGGGCGGCAATAGGGAGAAGATTTGGGCTGAATTTGTGGAGCCATTAAGGTGATTAGGAGAGAGAGAGAGGAGGCCATTAAGGGGCCGGCCTTGTAGGAGGTGAGGTGGCGTTGAGGTTTTAAGTTGGTGGGGAGCACTAGTCTTAATTTCAGGATTTTAATAAAATCTGAAATTAAAACTTCAGTTTTTAATTGGGAAGAGATTCCTAAATTAAAGACATTCAATTAGATTGATTTCGAATTTCAAATTCGAAATTTAAAATCTAATTAAATTTAGGGCATGATTTGGGAAAACCATTTAGGAAATAATTAATGGCTCAAGAAGCCCCAGAATTTCATATTTGAAATTCAAAGGAGGGGGGGGGGGGGGAGGGGGGGGGGGGGGGAGGAGGCGGCGGCATGAGGAAAGTGGGCCAGCCAGCCACAAATACTTCAACCCAAATTTCCGAGCCGATGAAGGGATAGAAAAAAAGAACTAAAAGGAAAATAATAGAACAAGGAAACCTAGAACTCACAAAGAGATTTAGCTTCTCCTACGAACTCACTAAGAGATCGAGGAGGTTTGCACTCACAAAGAGAACAAGAAATGTAAACTTTCATTCATCAATCATCCCCCTTACAATAAGAAAATGGCCATATATATAGGCCTCACAATGACAAAGAAAACAAAAGACTAAAATGCCCCTTGGGCTACAATAGTGACCAAATACCAATAAGGGCAAAAGCGGAAAAACTGAAAAATAAAATAAACTACTAAATAAAATGACTCAAAATAAAACTCATGATCGTGGCCGTTGATCTCCGGCGTCTCCTGATGGTTCATGGGGCGAAATTGCTTACGATGTTCTCATCATTTTCTCCTCAGGTGGGAGAAAACTCGACCCCGTCGAGTAATTATCTATAGAGCTCTCGTACTACTCTAGTAAGTCGGGGTCCACTCGCTGCAGCTCATCTCGATCAACCCATGTGTTCTCCGTCTTCGGTTTCCTTGCCCACTAAACTAGATACCTTTGTTGACCATCATCTCTAGTGGAAATTTGAGTTCATCACTATGTATTGTCTCAATCATCTCTGTATTGGATAAATTAGTCAATTTTGGGAGTGGAGTTAGGCTGGGGTTCTCACCAGGTGGGTTCACACAAGGCTCATTATTTCGTGGAATAGGAGGGTTACACTCTGGACCTCCAAAGGTTACAAGGTCTTCGATGTTAACATAGGATTAATGTTAAAAAACTTCAAGAAGGTCTGTCACGTAAGCATATACTTAATTTTGCTGTTATTTGAAAGGTCCAATGCTTTTAGCATATAACTTTTATAACGGTCCCTTGTGGGAACAGCTCCGGACAAATCAACATTACAAAATCTCTAATATCAAATTCTTTGAACCGTCTCTTGGAGATCGGCAGTAAGTTTATAACCGGCATTGCTTTGGTTATTCTTTTTATTAATATCCTTACGCAGTTCTTGAAGATGATATGCCAATGTGGATGCAAGAGAATCAGTGTGTATGATGACTGACAAGAATCATGAGCTTACAAACTAAAGTTTTAAACATAGACAAATTAGGATGACAACGGACTACAACACACACACGAAATACTAACTCACACGAACACGTAGCTATGACAGGTGGACGAGTCACAAAGAGGGGTCTAAAGTGTTCGGTCTAATGGAACGGGTGTAGGGGGAGTAATGAAGACATCCTTAGCTAAAAGGGCATCTCCATAGGGCGTCTTAGCTCGAGTCACAGACAGTCTCCTAGCGACGGTAGGGTAATCTATCATAGTCATCCAATTAGGAGAGAGAATTTCTTACTAGGGAATGACAAGGATATCAAGGGCATAATGTAGGAATCAGGAATATGATAATACAATGGGTCATGACTTACTACCATAGTAGGATAACCCAAAGAGTGACTAGCGGGTATGAGACTCAAGAGATGGGGTAGGGTATCCCTAACAGAATTGGGCACAATAGTTAGAAATGTGACCTGAAAGTATGGGCTACGACTCTCTCTAACACTAGTCCGGTGATATAAGTCCAATCAAGAGAGGTATACTCAGTCAAATGCACATCTAAAGGAGCAACTCCTAGGATAGACTCCAATAAGACAAGAGGATGTTTAGGGTTCAACATCGGCTCAGAATCTTTCAGATTCAAATTACTATCTTCCAAGCTCATATTACTATCCTCAAAAGGGTCAGTTTGGTTATAACCCATATCACTAAATCTGGGGTCACTTAAATCATGGTTTAATTCAGGTAGTAACTTCAATCTCTTCATTTCAACTTTGAAATTATCTACATTGCCATCAGAATTATTCAAAATTAAATCAAAATTATTTGGAGTCATCTCAGTAGATGCTACAACTAAATCAGGATCTTCCAATTTAAATTCAAAGTGTTAGAAGTCCGATTGGCTTCTTTCGAGATCATATTACTATCATTCAGGTATACTTTGTCCAAAGACTTGTCCTCGAGGAGACTAGGATCGGGGTGGGTTAAGGTGTCGACGTTTAAAGGTTCTAGCTTTCCTAGCTCAGGGTTTAAGTCATTCTGGGAGTCTGATTCAATCTCTTTTGTTCCATCCTCAAAGAATTCTTCGTTATTAGTGATATCACTAGCATCCACGAAATGGATGCACTCAGTCTCAGGTTCAGGGAACCTTTTCTTCTTAATGTATTCCTTTATTACAATCATACCTGCAGGGTCAAGGAATAGGGAGTCTAAAGGTTGAATGGGTTGGCTAGAAGTGGGTCTAAGTGGGAGCCATAAGAGATTGAACTATCAGAAGACCCAATAGAGGATCGGCCATTAAAGTTAGGTGAAACCTACAGGGGGGACAACAACCCTGTCGTTACTAAAAGGATGGGTGGTCTCGACCCAGTAATGTCTACGGTTTGTTCAACAGAAGAGGTGGGGCGGGGCTCTAGATGGTGGTCATTGGTAAAGGGTCGGTATTTTGAATTAAGATCTCGCCTCATGTCTTTCCAAGTAGGGTACTCACCGCGAGACTCTTTATGACTTCCAATCTTGCCCAAAATTGAAGAGCTCGACCTTTTAGGTGAGATTTAGCGATGCTAACTTGGTGGGATTCAGGGATATGACATGATTCAAAATATGTCATTCTAGTTGTCTAACCCATTCCTAAAAGTAAGTAAGGGTCCGAGGAACCATCAAAGGTGGGTAGACGGTAAGGTGACTCAAAGTGAGGTCGTTGTGATTAAACTCGGGTCTAGGTTTGAAAAAGTAGAGTGAGACACATAATTCGAGTGGGGATAGTCAACAGGTTTCTCCGTCATAATTCTAGTCATATTGCCATAGGTTACGATGTCATCTAAACTCTTTTGGTCTTATCGGTCCCATGGGTAAGTGTCAAGTGAAATCTAGAGAAGATTGGGGTGCAAGGTATCATACTCTACAAAGAAAAACCCATTTCCACTTGCTATATGGCGCTGAAAAATTACTGGACAACAATCTAAAAAGATGGACGAAGTTATCTAAGCAGTTTGATGGATCTAGGGTGTGGAACAACAAGTTATCACAACTTTAATGTCACTAAATGTCACTAAACAGTGCAGGAATGATGGATAGCAAACTACCAGCAGTTTGTTTATTGTCTAGTAGTTAGAAGTTGGGAGTGTTACAGCAATATAACACAAACTTAGACTCAATTAAAGTGCTGTTATTTCAGGACAGCAGGTTTTATGGCTAGAGCTAAGCAACCTAATCAATTAGAGGTATTGTAGTGACAAGATGGCCCAACATGAATTAAGCTGCTACACTGATGAAACCATGCAGAAATTTTCTGGACAGCAAAGTAAAACAGGGAATTGAAAAATTAGGCAAAGATGGCATGCAACAGTGCACAAAAGGTTACAGACTCCTAGGAACTTCTAGCACATGTAGCATTGCACCATGCTTTGATATAAGATGATGTGAAAACGTAATGCATGAAACAAGAACTGCTTGGGGATTTTAATATAAAAATGTTAAAGCTTGCTAGTTAAGAATTGATAACTTACCCAAGTTAGGTTTTCGGAATTATCAAGTTGGAAATTAAGTAAGGCATGTGGTTACAACTAGATTAAACGGGGACATGATCAAATTGACAACATAAAATTGAGATAGTAATGTTATGGAGAGAACAATAATCCACAATTAACAAATAGAATTTTTCACCTGAGTCTCTCTACTCACTCTCTTCGTTGGTGGACTTTTAATGGAGAAGAGATTGAGAGCAACCGAGCGATGCTACTAGGAGACAAATGGCACACAAAGTG